ATATTTTTCACGTATAAACTTAGATCTTAGTGGCATTTATTTTCCTGTTTAAGTTATTAAATTTCTTTTCCTGTTTAAGATCTAGAGTAAACATGGATAGATTTTTCCTTGAAAGAAAAATTTCTTATAAACTGGGGGTATTTATTTATTTATCTGATTTCTATAGCCGGGACACGGTGGCTCAGTGGCTAGGATGCTGAGCTTGTCGATCAGCTCTAAGTATTTGCACTGCACTGTCGGCAGTGTGGCGGTGTAAATCCCTAGTGCTGTATAATGGAGTGAGCTCCTGTTACTTGTCCCAGCTTCTGCCAATCTAGCAGTTCGAAAGCACGTAAAAATGCAAATAGAAAAAATAGGGACCACCTTTGGTGGGAAGGTAACAGCGTTCTGTGCTCCTTCGGTGTTTAGTAATGCCAGCCACATCACCATGGAGACGTCTTTGGATAGTGCTGGCTCTTTGGCTTTGAAATGGAGATGAGCACTGCCCTCTAGAGTTGGGAACGACTAGCACATATGTGCAAGGGGAACCTTTACATTTACCTACAGCTGCCTATCACAACTAAAGTTTCTGGACAGTGTACATTATAAAACAAAAACAATTAGAATGATCTATCTCCATCTATAACTTCTAATAGTTTTTGTTTGGCTACTGCTCTCTGTTTAAAATCACATCTGAATTGCAATTCACTTCCTTTTCAAAAATAAAGAACGCTGAATGATTTTACAGAGTATGATTTCATTATAAATGGGTTATGGAGTATGAAACAATTATACCTGAGGCAGATGAAGAGGACAATGTAATAAACTTTAAAAATTAGTCATTTTGAATTTCAGGAACTTTAATGTTATTTGGCTCTTAGAGGCAAAGAAATACTTAGCTGAGCTTGCCTATCAGAAAGGTCAGCAGTTCGGCAGTTCAAATCTCTAGCATCGTGTAACCGGAGTGAGCTCCCATTACTTGTCCCAGCTTTTGCCAATCTAGCAGTTCAAAAGCACGTAAAAATGCAAGTAGAAAAATAGGAACCGCCTTTGGTGGGAAGGTAACAGCGTTCCGTGTGCCTTTGGTGTTTAGTCATGCCGGCCACATGACCACGGAGACATCTTCAGACAGCGCTAGCTCTTCAGCTTTGAAATGGATATGAGCACCGCCCCCTAGAGTCGGGAATGACTAGCACATATGTGCAAGGGGAACTACCTTTAGTAGCTTCCAAAGAGAACGTGATAAATAATTTTGCTCTATCAGCGGTTGTGTAGTTAACTCTGCACTTTAAACTATTTCTAAAGTAACTATTGACCATTGTGATGTGAGTGGGGGATTCATAGAGACAATGTTGTCTAAAAAAAAATTGTCTATCTATTCTAGTGATGGACAGGACAGTGGGGATAATTCCAAGCCTTTGCCTTTGTCGAGCTGTTCAGATTCCAATCATCTTATCTATATTTTGCTTAAACCAAACTTTTTATTTGAGCTTATCTCACTTTGTTTCATTTAAATACTCAAACAATAAAAGCAAATCAGAAAACACAGCAGATGTGAAAGAAATTGGCCAAAGGATATTATTTCTTAATCCCTGTAATCAAAATGTATTTTTATTCCTATTTTCTAGATGAGCAATTTCACCTTAAAAACCATACAGATAAAGATACTCAAGGGAACGCTGAGATCATATTAGAGGTAACATAAGCAAAATCCATCTCTTTACAAGAAAAACGAGGAAATCCAGTACAGTTGTCTAATGTGGGAATATTCTAGTTGCTTGTGGGACCTCCTTATTAATTCTCTATTCAGTGTTTGTGGATTTTTGCCTCCAAATGATATGCTGCTCTCACTGGATTATCAAATTCATATTACTATTCAAAGGATTCTTCCTTGTTTTTCTAGTTCTGCAGAATGTGATAAGGTTGTTCTTTTTAACAGAAATCATTTTGTTTCAGAGCACTGGGCTTATTGAAGCTTTGTACAGCTAGGGATCTCAAGTTAATTGTTATTTTAATTAAGGCACTTAATTTTCAGATGGGATAACTGCCAAAACATAGGGAGAGGTCTTTCCTGCTTCACATCACATTATAGAGCCAAATTCATAAACAGTGCAATTGGCAGATCTCAGACTTTCGAGCTGTTAAGATAGGATGGTAAGTGGCTAAAACCTGTCCACCCCACCCCTCATTCAAAGCATCACAATACGTACCCCGCCTCCCCTCATTCCACCTTAAGGACAGTAGCCAGTGCTTGCTTTTGCTGCCAGCAGGTAATGCCTGGTATGAAGGGAAACAAAGGTAAGAAAATCCTACCCATTTCTTTCGTTAACTTGTTCTGCCAGCTCAAGGACTGGTGAAATTAACTTATGGCTGGGATCTGTGGCAAGCTTTTAGCAAAGAGCCACAAGATGGCATCCTGGAGTTAATTCTGCACTTTAGATTGCTTCTGAAAGGGAAGAATCTGAAGGGATAGATGATGCCTCCCAAATGTTGGTCTTTTCATAGCCTTTTTTTTAAAAAAAAAAAATTTATTAAATTATTAGTCTGTCTATCTATCTCCCTGTCATTCCCATTATTATTTTATATTTTGATCATTAGTGTAAATGATGGGATCTGATACATAAGGAATATTTTGCATGCGTATTTAAAATATTGAATAGCCAAATAAGTATTCAGCTTTGACCACATTGGTTTCAGCATTGCCTAATCCTGTTAACAGTTTTCATGCTTCAGAACAATGAGCTTCCCTTGGCATGGTTTTGGTCAGTGTGATATCTGAATGCAGGCTGTTAAGTTAGATCAGTGTTTCTCAACCTTGGCAACTTGAAGATGTCTGGACTTCAACTCCCAGAATTCCCCAGCCAGCATTTGCTGGCTGGGAAATTCTGGGAGTTGAAGTCCAGACATCTTCAAGTAGCCACGGTTGAGAAACACTGAGTTAGATCATTGTTCAGCACTGAATATAATCCAAGCCCACATTTGGAGACTTGGAAAAAGTGTCTGCTACTCCCTCATACTTCCTTTTTTTCAGTTACTTTGGGGAGGAATTGAAATTACGGCAAATGAGACCATCAGGATAAAAGATGAAGAATTGGCCACGCTACGTCCTGCAAAGCACTTACTCTGGATCTTTCAGCATAAAGTTCCCAAAAATCCCTCAGGAATCGAAGAATACCTGGATCACTTCTCTCAGTCAGACACCCCAATCACTCCAGAGGAATTTGAGCAGCTTCTTTTCACTACTGTCTTTACTGCTTACCAGATTCGTATTGTCCAAGGCCTAGATAAAAATCTGTGGATCAACCTTTTCTCTCAGCTGGTCAATGAAATCCTCCGGGAGCTCTGCAAACAATTCTGTTCTGAGGAACTGACTGCTTCTGCTCAAAATTTAGCCTCCAGGTCTTGGCAGGAAATGCCTGCCTATGTTAACGCATTGAAGAAATTCTATCAGCCCAGCTTCGTTATGATTCAAGGAAACTGATTTTCCTACGTCACGGGCAAAACAAGTCATCTTTCACCCCATAATATGCACACTAAAATACAGAAATACAGCTGCAGTTCTGTGATGTCTGTAACATTATCTGAGACTCTGCATGGACCAAAGTAGCAATCTTCCTGCTTTGTTTTCCCAACTTCAGTAGACAGTCCTTTGTTTTTTACTGTAATCTGATTTAGGAGAGCCTTTCTCAATGACCTTAAGATATACTAGAATTTATAACACCCAGTCATGACTAGTCTGACAAAGAATTCTGGGACTTGTAGTCCTGACACATATGGAGAACGCCAAGTTAGAGAAGGCTGACCCTGGAGCTTGGACACTCTCTCTAGGGTGTCCCATTCAGAGATTACTTTTCTCAATGGAGAGGCCTTTGCTGTTGGCTGGGATTAGGTTTCAGTGAAAATAGGACTATATGTTTCCCCATGCTAATTGCTGTTAGAGAACTCAAATTATCTTCTCATGTAGCATAAATGATAAGAAAGCAGATGCATGTTAAAAGTAAGATCTTGTCATTATAAGAGTAATTACCTATTTAGCAGGATAATTTTGAGAAAGCAGTGCTTAAGCAACAACATTTCTTCATTTTCTTTCTGTTATATTGTTGCAATGGCGGAAAACTTTACCACTAAAACACAGGACCTGCATAAAAAGGGAACAGGGAGTATCCAAAACATTTTAAGGAAAGAGTTGGGAGGTGTTTCATCAGGCAATTTAAAATGCTGAATATCCTATTTGTAAATTATAAATAACAAGTTTTACATATACATTAACTAAGATGAGGACATTATATATGTTCACCTTGGAAACTGGAAGGCTACATGATATTTTAAAATATAAATGTACAAGCTCATGACTATATGGTGATAACTAAGAAATATTTTATATTGCCACCTTAACTTGATTGCTCAATAGCACAATTAGACAATTTAGCATCCAAAACTGGTTGGAACAGATGGTTATGCCTGGAGTCTCCAATTCCCCCAAAACAATTTCTTTGTGGGCAAAATAAAATGTAGAAATGCTCGAGCAACTAAATGCCTAACTTATCTTTTAACTTTTTAAAAATATAGTAATCAAGGAAAGTACCATAGAAGAACTCAACAAACCGATTGCTTTCATTTGTTACAGCTGTTGTACTTCTGCCGTCGTAAACAGTCATATAAAATGTGTTTATAATTTCCTTTGGAGGCATAAATTCTCTGCTTTTGTAATAATCCAATATGCTAACATACAAGTGAGGTACTTTAGCTGATAGATCAATCAGTTAAAAATATCCATAGTTGATTTATCAGGTGGAATTAGTTTTAATCACTGATCTAGTTAAGGAGTTATTTCTTGGATTTTTTTTAAAAAAAACAACAGTTTTGGGTCTGCTGTGTTTCTGCATTATATGGAGAAGATTACTTATAGAAGCCTACAAGATAGTATTTCCTTTCAATACTAAATGATAAATAGCTTTGTGGATAAAATTAGATTCCCTGAAATAGGTTTGACAAGGATTTGACAGTACTCAAATTTGTTTAAAATATCCAGTACTTTTTTAATTTCTCAAACATCAAATGATTCTTCAATTATTGGAGATACACTACAAACATACTACACATTTAAAGCTTGGGATTCTTTTTCATGAATGGAAAGGTTTGAATATCGCAACATCAAATGTACAAATACACACAATCCTTTTAGTTTCAGGTTTTATTTGATGTCCCATTATATCTGTCCCTCTCTTGTGATGTTTGCCAACAATTACACAGAATGTTATCACTTCTCAAACGTTCTGCAGAGGGAGCCTTTTACCATATAACCCTTTTCAGCATTTTTCAAATGTCCATTTTTGCATATTTCATTTATCTCCCCTTATTCCTTTACTCCCCAAATTGACTCATGCTTTAGTCTTATGTCTAACAGTAATCATGAACAAAACACACCAACTTGTGAATGTCATTTTAGGGATGAATGAGAGAAACAACAATGGCTCTGCAGGCAGAAAACACAAGGAAGGTGTCCATAAGGAATACACTGGACATGTAATAGCATGCTTGTATCTTCTCATATGAAGAGCGGTATTTGTCCAGGACTTGCACAAGAGACTGCTGCATCTGGAATACTCTTATGCTTATGTTGTAATATGCACATTTAGAGATTTGACCCTGGAGAAATGTTGGAATCTGAAGAGGATTTTGTCTTAGTCTCTGGATAGACAAGGAAGCCGGTGAAGGTTATGTATTTGCCATGATTGCTGTAAGCACCGTAGCCATCATGCTGGTGACTGTAGAGCCAGACAATGTCACCAGCTTGCAGAGGGAGCATAATGCTCTGGCTCTGCATCTCCCTCCTTTTGGAGTGGTTGTCATCATAGATCATGGCCTGAACTTCATTGTGGTTCTTCATCAGCTTTACTGACATTGTTTTGAAAGGCATTTTACCAATGGTGAATGAAAAATAGTAGGCGCCAGGAACACGGCAGGTAAAGATGCCAGTTGAAAAATTGAAGTCATTCCCAATGTTCACAAACTCTGAGTCAAATGTGATGGGCTCGTGCTGGGTTTGCTTTTCATCCGATCCCAGGAGGCTTTCGGAACGGGCAGCTGAAAAGGCAGAGCGAGGATCCTGTGGTCTGGCGGGTTCATCAGAAAGCAGAAGTCTTTCTGAGATTTGGTTTTGGTTGATGGAAAGCTGCTGAATGACATGAGAGGGAGGCTGAGATGGTTCTTTTCCTAGTTCTGGAGATCCTATTCTATTCTGAAAGTAGCTAGAGGTGTCTGGATAAATGAGGTACCCATTGAAAGTTGTATAGGGGCCCACATTGCTATACAGGGCATACTTTGGATCCCCGTGTAAACGTAGCCACACAGTATCACCGTAGTCCAGTTGTAGCATGGCACTTTGGCTGGCCACTTTTCGCTCTTTACGGTGATGTTCGTCATATACAATTGCCTGCACTTCATTCTTGTTTCTCATTAGCATGACTGATAAATTTTTCTTGGGGTACTTTCCGACAGTGAAGGAGAAATAGTAGGCTCCAGGGATACGACATCGAAATAGTCCAGCTTTGGGATCAAAGTCATCCCCTATGTTTACATAGACCTTATCAAAGGTGATCACCATCTCGGTGCTTCCTTCCATGCTGCTGGTCCTAGCGACAGAGAAGGCAGACCGGAATTCAGTCCCGGAATCAGCAGGGAAGCCATACACAAAGGAAAAGGCCAAATGGAAGAGAAGGCCTAAGGAAATTTGATCTTTCCACTGGGTCATCATATCTAAAAAAAAAAAAGGTGGAGGGGAGGAGACAATTTAACCAATGCATTCAAAAACTGCTTTTCGACCCGAGAGGAGCCTTAAAAATTGCACTTACTTTTGTACAGCCAACAGATAAAACCCAGACACTGCTACATCTGATACCAGCTCTTCATTGGAAGGATAATAGGAATAAGTATTTTACACTGAAAATGCAACAGGATATAATACTTAGTAAACATGCAGAAGACGGTATCACACAATACGTCTGGATATAGATATACTTGTCACTATTAATCCTCAAACCTGGAAAAAAAATACCTGTTAATCTGCAGAAACATAGCATGGCTACACCTTTGTCCTCATTGAAATGCAATTAGGTAGGATTAGTTTGGGAACAAGTTAAGTCTATATTTAGTATGGACAGGATGTATCCAGACAGATGTTTTTGATACTGATTTTGTATCAAAATCCTGTTGCTATAGTAACCTAATTGAGTAGTATAGTTCAGTTTTTTTAAAAAAAATATTCTTAATTCTTTTTCCCCATCTAATTTACCATTGTAATCTCCTTGTGTTTCAAACATTATTAACAGCTGTGTATTGTTATTATTGATATCATTGTTTTTTTTAAAAAAATATGAGACTCCATTTCATTTAGCTGGCTAGTTAAAAGCTCTTAAGATTCAGCTGGCCAAAAAATATGAATATTCAGATGCCGATTCTTTGTTCTATTATATTCACTTGATTAAAGAAGAATGCAGAACTCACATTTCCACTTTCCGCCTCCTCCCAATCCCCACCAACTTGGCCTAAATGACACCATCTTATTGCCAACAGTAACAGTAAGGATGATTTTGAGAAATCTGCAAAAAGGTGTATGTGTGTGCATAAGAATGCAAAGAGAAAATATTCCTACAATAAAGCAAAATATGTTATTAAAGTAATAGATCCAAACTCTGTGACTTCACTGAATCACACTGGCGGGATTTAAGAAAAGATAACACCTTATGTATTTCTGCTGCTCCAGTATTTATGATTCTAATGACAAGAGGCCAAAACATGATCTGTGGTCACTTTCAATCTGAGAACAAACCTGTCAGTCATTGCCAAGACATGAAACTCCATTCACTGTCCTCTCTCTCTCGCAGGCTCATTAAAACATCACTCAGTCGGAACGCCTGGTGGCTGGGATCTCTTGTCTGCCATCTCTGTCTCTCCCTGTCACTTCAAAGCTGGTCTGTTGCCATCAACAGTCTACAAATTCAGAGGACTCTTTCATCACAGCTAAATACTGTCTTGGGTAGAAAGTTGGTATTGTAGACATGCTACTACCATATGCACTCATCCTACATCTAAGCAGAGAGACATCCAGAGGTAATGCTATTTACTCAGGGCTCAGTTTCTTTGGAAGATGTACACCAGAGGGTGACAGCGTGTCTTTGATAAATCATGTATATGTTGGTTGACTAAAGGACAATATTCTCCCAACAGACTTGAGAGAAACTCCAGAGTCATAGGTTTTTTTTAAGGGAAATCAGTGCAGCCTGATTCCTACGCCACATTTCTAGTCTCAATCTCAGGAAAAGGGGACTAGGATAAAGGAAGAAAGAGAAATCTTGATTCTTATTAGCTTGTTCCGCTATCTAAACTACCTTTTGGGGCTACTCCAATCACAAATCTCATTAGGCACTCTCGGAATGAAGGTTTTTGACTGAAGAACACTGTTTGCAATGTTCTTAACATGTCATGATAAAGCTCATAACTGAATCCAAGGAAAAATGAAAATAAGACCCCACTCATGAGCGTGCTTTACTCTACCTATGACTGCGCCTTGGAAAAGATGTATTGCCCATTTCTAGTCCTTTAGCCTAATTATAGGATGGAAAGGACTGTTGCAACAGCAGTGGTGATTTTGTTTAAGTGCTTTCCATTTGTAAAAATATTCTTTAGACCAGCATTTATCAACCTTGGCGACTTTAAGATGTGTAGACTTCAACTCCCAGAATTCTCCAGCTGGCATAATTGGGAATTGACATTTACATATCTTAAAGCTGCCGAAGTTGAGAAACAGTGCTGTAGATCACACTTCTGTTGGCACTCTCAGGGCAATCCTTGTTTTCCTTTGCAGAACAAATGAATTACACTTGGAAATATTGAAATAAAAGGCTTCTCACTATTTGGAACCAGTGCATGAAACAGCACGTGAAATAAATGGCAAATATAATATCTGAGATCCACTTGATAAAGTAAAGGATGGTATGCCAAGGTCATTTTCTTCACTTTAGATATTAATATTGGATTACATAACAGATTTGGATTCAACCGACTCAGGTGTAATGAAGTAATAACATGAAAAATGTTATTTATCTCAGCAAAACTTAGGATGAATAACAGCATTCATCTTTCCCCTGCAGTTATCTTCCTCTTTTTGAAAAATCTCTAATACTTTATTTGGCTGAGGGTGTGTGGGGGTTTTGTGTGTGTGTGTGTGTGTGTGTGTGTGTGTGTGTGCATTCAGAGATGGTGATGGCAAGATTTTCTTGAACCCCAACATCATTTATTTGTGTGTAGGCTGGAAATGGCAAGAAGATGGTCCAAGTATGTTCGGGATGCTTCCACAATGGAACCAGGCCTACTTCTTAAATCCAAAAAAGGGACAACATTGGGTTCGATTCTACATTTATATTTTCTGAAAGAACAATATCATCCTATCAGACATTTGTTCAGTTAACAGGATTTTCCAGTCATTTTACCTCATTCCCAAGGCATGTTCCATGGATGATCTGTGTGTGGGGTGGATGGGGGTGTGCATGTGTGTGTTAGTGGATCCAATTAATAATCAACTCTTCTGGCTCAATAGAGTAGCATGTGCAGCAATAGAACAGTATCTTTGGTTTCAACCAACATGTATTCAGCAATGTGTTTTTCTTGACATATTCAAACACTGCTTGACTGGCCTCCATTTCAAATGTCATCAGCATGCCCAAACAGCCACTTCACATAAATACCAAGGAAAATTATGGAGATGATGAAAGGTGTTAAGGTCTGCACATTGTTAAGCACATAACTATTTAAAACGGAACCACTGTGTTCTCCAAATCCTAGCACTACTTCTGCTGCCCACAGTGTAAATGATGGTACATTTGCTGAGGCACTTTGGATAAGGAAGAAAATTTGCACTATTTATTTGTTTCTGGGGTTTGTAGCCTGCTGCAATCAAATAACTCACTGGTTTACGGGGAGTGCTACACAGAAATTACCACATCCATCATAAACACTACTCCATACAATATAAGACCTCAGTGAAAACAGAAATGACAAGAAACCCTAAAACGATTCACTATATTAAATCAAGAGAATGCCCTCCATAATCATTCAGTTTTCAATCATTTCTTGAAAGCCAGAAGAGAGGAGTGAGTTTGATCTCCAAGGGCAGGCTATTCTAGATAAATAGTGCTGCCACTTCTGATGGCCTCCACTGCTGTTTCTAGCAGGCATCATGGAATCTAGAGCACTGCTTCTCAAATTTGGCAACTTTAAGACATGTGTACTTCAACTCCCAGAATCCTTCTGCCGGCGATGAATTCTAGGAATTGAGCTCCACATGGCTTGCCAACTTTGAGAAATACTGGTCTAGAAGAAGTCCTAAACTGCAAAGGGGATCCTTCATAATTAGTGTTTGCCCATCCAGGGGCAGCACTAATGTTGACAATAAGATTTCTATGAACTTTATTTATGAATGCGACTTAGCAGATGTTAAAAGATGTCTATTTGAAGTGGCAGAAGCAATTGGAAAATTCCCGTAAATGATTCTACTTGTGTCTATGCTCTTAATAACCTGGAAGTAAAACAAATCAAAATATTGTAACTCACATTGAAACTGCAAACCAACTGCAAAATGTTTTCCAACTACAGAAAATGGAGCTTTTCCTAATCATGTTTTAAATTGGTATATTGTCAGTTCAGCTATCTGGTTAATCAATTAAATCAGTAAGTTAGATGAAATATCAAGATGTTGAAAGAAATGAAACTTGATAGCTAAACAGACTATTTTACATATATCCCCAAATTTTATAATAAGATGCCTTAGAAAATCCAGGCACTTTTTGGTTGACTGCATTTAATACATCACATTCATTGTAATGTTTAAGGACAGTTTCAAATGTCTCAGTTATAAGAATCATCAAATCATCAAATGAATAGCCTGCCAAACCTCTGGTTAGCATGGACATGAAACCATTTTCTCTTTGATTCATTTATACGTCAAACATTAAGTATTCTACAAATCATTCACAGTGCAGACAACTAGTATCAAATGATTTATTTATTTACCAACAGGATTGATTTGGCAACCTATCTTATATATGACTTTATACTGCCCACAATCCATTACAAGAAAACCAGTTAAAAACAAAAATACCTTCCCTTCAGGTCAGACCATTCATCCTCACAGCTCAACCCCTATCCCAGTGGTGGGTTTCAAAAATTGTTCGAACCTACTCTGTGGGTGTGGCCTCCTTTGTGGGAGTGGCTTGCTGCCCATGTGACTGGATAAGAAGATGCCAGAACTACCTTAAATTACCTCACATACAGCACTGGCATGCATAA